TGCGAACAATAAAGTCAAAGGAACCATACCTCTACGCGCGACCCTTCGCGAGATATAAGCCCTTGAAAATTCGCCTACGTCATTTCCGGTCACATGACACCGTGGTCAAAAGGGAGCCTACCGCGAGAAAAAAAAATTAACGCGTGATCGCGCACACTCGGGGATCGCCGACCCGCTCATTCGCAGGGTAAATTGTGGCAAACAGGCGGTCATGTGACCCGTAGAATAATTTTCGGAGGTCTATATCTCGGGAAGGGTCGCGCGTAGAGGTATGGTTCATTAGACATTTATTATTCGCACAGAGGGGGTTCGCCACCCCTTCATTCGGAGGGTAAATCTTACCGTCCCAATCGCGTCATAGGGATCGATATTTCTACCTATTAAACATTCTATAAATACTTTAAAATAGTTTAATTTCTTTATTTACCTTCGCTTGTAAACCTCTATTTTAATTAAATGTATCCGCCATTTTTTCAACAAATTTCCCGTGAGTCAATGCGCGACGTTCACTAAGTCATGGAATGTTGTAAACGTGCGGCGCGAGATTAATCGAGGCATATAATAAGGCAAGGCAAGGCATATAATAATTATTTATACCATTCCGTGGTATAAATAATAAATTCCTATTACAAATAGAAATAATTTATTGTTAATGTAAAATCTTCACTAGGGCGCCTCTAGTGCCCGTTTTTGGCATACCGTTACGCGGACAGACGGATACCCGTTCAATGGTTCATTTACACTTACAGTTTTTCATTTATACTTACAAAGGTTTACTGCACCGAGTGATGAATCTAACACGTTTAAGTTTTTTTTTTATTGTGTACAGAAGACGAATAAAAAAACCCTTACATAAGATAATCTTTGTAGTTATATAAATCAAACACTATAATATAACAAACAACTATATACAGACGAATATCAAACGGTAATCTGCCAACCAATCAAATTTCGCGAAAAACGGATCATATATTTATACTCGGCCCCCAAAACCACTTAAAACATATTTTATGCTGGCTGGTAACTTTGTATTATACAATTTTCCTATTAGGATACCACTATGCCGATGAATCCGATAGGAAGAAGGAGATGTTGCACCACTAAAGGAATTGAGAACATTGTGACGAAAAGTTTCAGCCAGGCATTTTGATCATGACACAATAAATATCGCTCGTTAGAATTAGTTTGGTTTATTTGGTTAGGGCAACGCGACACGTGAGCGATATGCCGCGGAGACTATGAGAAGTTTGACTTTATTTAGGTGTTACTTACATGAATGAAACGCGGAAAACTCCAGCTCGTTGGCCATGCCCGAATCCTCGACTAACTACCAGAGTTTGGTGGTTTTATCCACTCGGAGAGCGCTTATTAGAATTAAGAAAGTACCGTTGAGAAATAAAAAAAAAAACCGAGTCGTTAGACGTGGAAAATTAAATACAGCTGCCCCTTGATAGTCCGACGCACCTCCCGTCAAGGTACCCGTCCCCGTTACGTGTCTGCTTGCACAGAAACATGTCGCGACGTGAACCTCCCCATCCAATTCTTACAAGATGACACACATTTCGTGTGTTTTCCGTGAGTAGTTCTGTTCGAACAGTTGGAGTAGGGAATATTGTAAGCTGCTGCTAAAAAAACAATGCCAAATATGTAATCACTTTCGGTAATCCGACACTCCTTTGGTCCCATACCTGTCGGATTATCGAGGGAAAGCTGTACTTATAAATTTTTCACAGGGTAACACTTTCGATTGCACGCCCACAATGCACAATGCTATATGCAGAAAAAAAGATTCTTCGCTTGGACATTGTCGGTTGTTCCAGCATGATATATTATATTAACATTATTAGAATACGTTCCAGTTCTAGTACAATTACTAACAGAAGGTAGAATAGAAAATGACAGTAATGGGAAATGTATATAAATTTTATTTGTTTTTTAAGTTATGGCAACGCAACACTTGGGCGATCTGCCTATGGGGAATGTTTCCGGGGGGTCTTTTAAAGGAAACTGGCCCCTATTTAGGCGTTACAGACGTGGAAAAAATCCGGAAAACTCCACGTGGCCAGTCCGTCCGAGCGAGGCTCGAACCCACGACCAAATTCCCAGTGTTCAGGGTACAAAGACCGTTTGGTCTGGTGGGCGTATAAATTTTGAATTTCGTCTTAAAGATAAAATGTGTGTTGTGTATAATCTCCCGATGACCGTATCGAAAATCCGGAGGTTTTTGAATAATCCGTTATATTTTATTACCGTTTTAAAAATTCATCTAAAGTTCAGCCTCTAAAAACGACAGTGGACACCTTTTCAAGACAATGACGTAAATCGCAATGGATGCAGCGTGTAGACTACAGAATGGGGGAATCAAATTCAATTTTGAGGCAAAAAAATTGAATATTCGAAAGAATCTTCTAGTACAGTACAATTACTGTCAAGTAAATACAAATTCAAATTAAATAGAGCTGTCGTGTCATGTTTGTACTAAGAGACTCACCTTTTTGTAAGCCCATTATGGGTGGTGAGGGACGGGACCCGACGTATCCGGATGACCACCCCCCGAAAAATTTCCTGGGGTTTTTTGACACTTCCACATTTAATCGCGGGCCCACAAAGTGGTACGCTGCTACCTTAACTGCTCAACCATCCGGCCATTTAAGTGCGTTTACGAACACAGATGTACTTTTGTACAATGTACAAATACGTTCGTAGTAATTGACAAAATAAAAAATTGATATTGAACATTTCTATATGCTCAGCGGATAATACTACTGAACACTAGTAAGGTCGAGGGAGGCTGATATCTCAACTGCTCGGTCCTCCGGCTGTACGAGTCTCCTTTTTTTTTTTAAGTTTAAATTATGAAATTATATTCGTCGATTCAACGAATATTGGAATGCATTTTAGTACATCCCAGTACCATGCACTGGGACTGTTCAGTATTTGGCACTGGTCGTCCCGTGGGGAGGTCTGACAAAGCAAACCGGTCGCTTCCACAGTTATATTATTAACACAACTTTTAATACTCGTTCGTATTAACCCAAAGTTATTTGGACAAAGTCTGCAAATGCCAATGTAGCGCCGTTTACTTCCGCCATCTTGTTAATTGCCAGGCATTCGGTTGTGGTGGACTGATTGCTTACTGGAATGTATCCTGTTATTAATTTTACTATTTTTGTACTTTTCTTTAAAAACTTTCATTAGTACATCGTAGATAACAGTCTAGTGCGTGTTTTTAATTAATTAGACAAGATGTTTCGTTATTTCATCTATTAAATTTCTATACTTTATTCTAATATAATAGTAAACGGTTAAATACGTTATTTTTAATCTTTGTATTCTTTCCTCTACCAAGTGATCGATTACAGTCGACCCCCTATAACACTGTTGATTTTTCCGTTTTATATAAATTCCACGTTGTACGAGCCACTTAGATTTTACAAATACGTGAACTGTTCACAGCCGGGCACACGTATTTGTAAAATGTAAGTGGCTCGTACAACATGGAATTCATATAAAACGGAAAAATCAACAGTGTTATAGGGGGGTCGACTTGTATCTGAAATTGCCACGTCCCGATTATTATTATTGAGGCTCAACTGACGAGTTATTGCGCAAACTCGCTATTCTCAATGTATATTATTAATTTATAAAACAATACAAAGTACGACTTAAGATTTTTTTAAAACTTAGAACAAATCAGTTCTCTTCTTTATTGCGTAATCAGAACGTAATTTTACAAAAATTTTATTGGTTATTTTCTATAAGAGGAAAAAAACCAAAAATTTAAAAAAAAAAAAAACAGAAGTTTCCATAATACTGTGTGTAAAATTGTAATGGAAAACATTCGACAATACAGACAGCAATTCTTGGATATACCATTCATAAATAATAGACATGGAATGGTAATACCAGGAAAAGCAATAAGTATAAATATTCTATCAATCATGCCTGTTATCTAACAGGTATTTTTTAAAATTTAAACTGAACTGAAACGATACTGAATCCAATATGCCGTAAGATGATCGTAGTATCTCTCTCAGAAGGTAATGTCAATATTTACTCCTTCTGTCCTAGATCACCGAGGGCATTTTTTTTTTTTCAAGTCCATTCTTGGTTCGGCCGTACCACCCTGAAAAATTGTTTTCTCGACCCGCCCGGATTCTCATCGCAACAGGCTGCCACTTCGGCCTTAAGTGTCCTAGAGTACAGGTACGACGTTAAAGAAATACGCGTATCCAACCGCCAGACCACCCGAATTTTTATCAATTGATGTGCTACAGAAGACCCGCCTCCTTCCGTCTTCGCGTTAATTAGACCAAACGGATCCACTTATTTCGTGAGCACAAAACCATTGTTTCCATTTTAAATCCTTCTCTGTTAATAGCAAAAATTACGTTATATGCAAAATTTTATTTTTTTATACAATTTATTTTAAAATATGTTTGGTGCACAGAATAAGTTACAAACTTATTAGACTGTATTCACATACTGTAATCGAATCTAACTCAAAAACATGGTTAAAAAACATTATATACGGAACAGTTATATTTATCCCCACACGCATAAAAAGGGGTAATCAACACAATTAAATAAATATTTAGATGCTCCACAACTCTAAATCAAACCAATACACGTAAGTAATATACCGAAATAAACAAATGCCTAAATATGTTTAACTTATATCGGAAATTTTTGAAGTGAATCGAAACAGAACTTTAAAACGAACAGAACTTTAAAACGAAAGAACAAATGTCAAACAATGACACACTCGTACACAACATGAAATCTTTTTTAATATGAAATTTACATGAATTGTTGCCAAGAGAACTTTGCTATATGAACAGTGCACAATTAGAATGTTCAATCCCAGATTTGAAGCATGGAAATAGGCAAAATACGCTTGATTTTCTTTTGTTTTTATTTTAACTATCGTTTCTGTGTGCATATCGGAATTCTGTGACGACGTATTCACAAATTCAAGCGAAACTGCATTTTTTTTACGGCTTTTGGTCCTAAATTGTATTAGCGTATTATTGGAACAACTGTTAAAACCAAGGAGAACAGAAAGTGGATGACGTTTGTTGCCGTTTGCTGTTGTTTTTTGCTCGAGACTTTATTTAGATGGATGGCGACGACTGCGTTTTCACTTTTCACTGACTTTCAATTTGAATTTTGTTCTAAGTGAAGACGACTACTGGAACTTTTCACTTTGTAGCACCAACTCTGTTATTCCTTTAGACTTCAAAGAGGAATTGTAAATGCTTAAATCTGGGGTCCGGCGGGTATAATGTTTGTTTTTCCGGGATGCAAGGTTCCAGACGCCCCTCTCTTGTAATTGGCGCACCGTCCGGCGGAGGAAAAGCCGAGCGTCGACCCAACTCTTAACAGGAAAAAAAGAATGAAAATTCATGTAAAAAGACACTTAGGCATTATCAATGAATTACTTATTGGCAAAATCTCAGGCAGTATGATGCAATGCTAGCCTAAACACGTCGTGTTCCACGTAGAATCCCTCGCCTAATGGTTTCAGAACGAACGTTTGATTGAAGGTGTGTGGTGGATCTTCGTCTGTCTGAAACAGTGAACGTTCTCGTTACTATAAAACTGAATTTAAAGCAAATTTTTTAAATGTACACAAATTTTATATGTAAATATAATTTTGAATTAATCACAACTTTTTCTTCAGACCAGAGAATAAAATGACATTGGAAAATATCACATTTTATTCGTTTTTGGCAGAACAAAAAACTGATTTACAGTTAAAGTTGACTTCTGGTCCCTATTGTATAATAATTACACGTTACAAAAGGTATTAGTTACAAGCTATAAGACTTATAATACGTTATTCTTGTAATTTGTAACTTGTAAATCTTGTAACAATTACAAGCATTTTATGCAACAGACCTGAAGGATGGATCACATAAAATACCCAAATGAAATCTGCTTGTTTTTATTGTGATATTCCATTTTATCATCCTCAGATAAAAGTTTCTGCATACATTTGAAACTGAGAACAGTTTCCAATCTATATAGTGTTTCTACACTATAAGATAAAAGAAAAATAGTTTGATTAAAAAAAACAAATTATACAATGCCAACCAAGAAAATAAATCTGATGAAAATGCTAAAAATTCCCACATACTACGAAAAGTTTTTTAAACAAAGAAATGAATTTGGATTATATAAATGACACAATAAATATAAACATTTTTAATAGGTTCATATCAGCAGGATAATTAAAGCATGCATTACAATATTTAGAACCATCTTATCTCCAATGCAAGTTTTCCCAATGAATGATGATACTGTGGTATGAATTATGTTTAAAGAGAATTGATGAAAAAGAATGAGCAATTGAAATGTGAATACAAAGAATATGACTTTAAATCAGTCTTTAAATTCTTCTACAAGATTATGTTCAACACCAAGACTGTAATCTTCAAATAGATACTCTTAGTGTTGAACATATGTTAATAGATGTTAATTAAACCAATTTGAATGTGGATTGTCTTTGTTGACAAAGTAATTCCACTGCTGGCCATTAAAATTGCTTTATCAAGAAGGAAAGCAAATAACAGAATCATGTTCATTGTACAGATACAGTAGAATGGGAGGAAGAGATGATTAAATTGACAGGTAATCTCGAGGTACATAGCACCCAGCATATTGTACCTTTCATGCAAATTTTGCATTTGCTTCATGCTGTAGCAATTTTTATGATCAGCAGTGTATTTCAAAAAATTCTTGAATTTGTTCATTCTATGATTTGAGTGATTTATGTAAAAATCAATCTCTTTGTAAGCTGAAAAACTGAAAAAAATCATCTGTTCTTGTGATCATTAAGTATGCATTTGCAACTTCTTTACAATGCTCATGCTCATACCCAAACAGCAAAAAAAATAGATACAGTTGACCCCCCCTATAACTGTTGATAATTCCATTTTATATGAATTCCATGTTGTACAAGTCACTTAGATTTTACAAATACATGAGCCGTTCACAGCCCAGCACATGTATTTGTAAAATCTAAGTGGCTCGTACAACGTGGAATTCATATAAAATGGAATTATCAACAGTGTTATGGGGGGGTCAACTGTATACAGTGAAACCTGCTAATGTGACCACCTCTGTATTACCTTTCTACGGTGACCGATTTTATTTGACCTGAAATTTACTTCATAATTTCAGGCGTATTTTTTCTCAGTATAGTGACCACCTGTTAATTGTGTAATGTAATCAATGTTATATTAAGTTTTCCTGAACTGTAACCATTAGTGACCACTTTACAGAGAATAGCTGGTAGGTTGAGGGTTTTTGTGCTACCAGAAACTCACATGGCGCGGGAAAGAAGAAAGTCTATTTGCCGGTCAACATTTGCTTTCATATACTGTAGTATTTACTTCAAAAAAGTCATAAGTCCATTACCAAATGCTGCTTCAATATTGCAGTACAACAGCTATTCTAAGAAACTAAATTTTATCTAAACTTCAATAAAAATGTTAAGTAAATGTAAAAACTGAAAAAAGAGAAATAATTTCATTACCTCTGAAATGTGCTTTTATATCAAGATCTAACTTTCCGAGCACTAGTGATAAATTTTGGGCTGGATTTTATGATTGTTTAGTCTATAAAATCTCATATCTGACATGTTCAGGCAGAATTTAGAAAACTCCAGAAATATCACAGTCTCCTACTTTATTGAAGCTTCTCTCGTATTTATCATATTTAAGTGTATTCTTAGTTTTGTATGTTTTATTAATTATTGATAGCATCCAAAATCTGTTCATCTTCTCCACAGCTTTCAACTATGGCTCCAACCAAGCCATACAGAGAGCTTTCTCTGAAAGTAAAAGTTGAGGTTATCACGTTTCTTGAATCCAATAGTAAGCAAAAAGCAGAAGCAAAGTTCCGGATAAGTAAAACATACATTAACAACATTCATAAACGCAAGGCAGAATATCTTAAATGTTAGGAAGACAATGAAAATGGAGACCATTCCTGAAAAGTAAAAAAAGACAGCAAATTTTGAAATAAGTGATGCTGTTCAGAATGATTTCAGCAAATGCATGGGAATCAATGCTAGTGTCTCTGGCCCAATGCTACAAGAAGTAGCATTGGGCCAGAGACACTAGCCCAATTTGCAGAGAAGCTTCATATTCAGAATTTTAATGTATCAAACAGCTGGCTCAAATTATTTAAGCAAAGACATGCCATTTCAGACAGGATACTGTGTGGAAAATCAAATGATATAGATGTAAGATAATATAAGTGATATAGATATAAGTGAAAACCTTCAAAGATCTTGAAATAAATGGTATATCCTGTCTAGGATATCCCAGTTTTTTCACGGATACTACTGGAGTTTGGTAAAATTATTTTTTTATTTTTCTTATTTTTGTAACAGCTGTATGGGGGCATTCTGTGAACAACGAAGGAAGGCACAAATTTTTTCTTTGGGACCAGCCATTTTCACAGTGTTGGATGATGTTTGGATGTGTTTTTGTAAGTGTTGTTAATTAATATCCTTCTGTATGTACCATCTGTAAATAAACAATCGTTTTTATTAAACTGTAACAGTTAATTATAAAATAGTCTAGAATACTTTATGTCCATTACAAAATTGGCTTCCACGACAGGATCCTAGTTGAATTCAAATATATTCGAGTAAAATGGTAAAGATTAAAAGAAAATGAACGACTCTAAGAGCTTCATTTACAAAGACTTAATATCCTAAAGGATGAAATTTGTAAAGTTGAGGAAGATAGAGGAATCCTCAAGGACAAATTGAAAAAATTGTAAGGTTTGTAGGTGGAAGTTAAGGATCTATTGGGTTGTTCGGAAAGTAATTTCGTTTTTTTATTATTAGAGGAATTAGATGTATTTTTACCAGCCAATTTCATTTTAAACCAAATTTTCATTATATACTTTGATAGCTGACATTTTAAGGCTTATTTATAATTATTTTTGTTTGATTCTGTACAATTGACTTTTTTATGGTGTCCCATTGAATATAGAAAATCGAAAGAATCATTTTCGGCATATTTTGCATTTTTATTACCAAAAAATCAAAATGATGTTCAAGCAAGAAAAAATTTGTGGTACAGTACATGTAGGGAGAAGATATGTTGAGAGAAAGACAGTGCCAAAACTGGTTTATAAAATTTCATTCTCTCAATTTCAATATTGAAGATGCACCACGTTCTGGATGGCCAGTTGAAGCCAATGGAAACAAAATAAAGGTACTGATTGAAACAAACTGCCAAATAACAATGCGTGAAATCACTAAGAGATTAAATTTGTCAAACTGAACTGTTTATGATTACTTGAAATGAATTGGTTTCATTTCAAAGCTCGATATATGGCTTCCACATGTTCTTAAAGAGAGTTGTTCTCTTTGGTGAGATTTTAAGGAAATTTTTTTTGAGCTTTTACCAGACAATTTAACAATTGATTCGAAAGTGTACTGCCACCGAGTAAACAAATTGAGTAATAATATCAAACAGAAAAGGCCAGAATTGATCAACAAAAAAAACAGTGTTTTATCATGATAATGCCAAATTTCACACAAGTTTGGTAACTTGTCCGAAACTGTTACAGCTTAGATGGGTCGTGCTATCAAACCAACCATATTCGCCAGATCAGGCACCCTCAGATTATTACTTGTTCTGGTCTATACAAAATTTTTTAAATTGTAAGACATTTACTTGAAATGAAAATGTCAAAAATCACTTAGATTAGTTTTCTGTAGCAAAGATCAAAACTTATAAACATGGAATCATGCTACTACCAGAAATGATGGCAACAGGTATTTGACCAAAATGGTCGATATATAATTCAATAAAATATTTATTTATTATGAAAATATTGTGTTTTTTTCCATAGGGAAAAAAACGAAATTACTTTCCAAACAATCCAATAGATCGTAACATTTTGAACTTTCTCCTAGACTTGGACACAAGTGACTACAATATAGGAAATGAAGTAGAGTCTGCAGAACAATATTCCAATGAGTATATTTCAATAAAATATTTAGTTGAAGAAAGGCTTAATGATATGGATGGTAACCTTAGAAGCAAAATGAGAATGTCAAACATGGTGCCAAAAAACAAAATTACAAACTCCCAAAAATAGAAATATGATAGGAAACTGAGGAATTGGCTGCCTTTTTGGTCACAGTTTAAAAGGATTTACTTAGATGATGAGCTGGATAATTCAGAAAAATTCCAGTATCTTTTCCAGTATTCTAACTGGGTCACATGTCTAATACCCCGTTCACACCGAGCATTTCAATCTATGTTGTGACCAAGGCCGGCAACTATGCCTTGGTGCGACCTTTCTTGACTGTTTCAATCTCAACTGAAACGAGGTTCAATCACGATCAACTCAAGAGAGTTCTTGAAACTAGATCCAGTTATAAGAGAGATCTCACAATCCCACACACGCAAGAAAATACAAGATGGCTGCGGAACATGTGTTGGGCTATTGATAGAAAAATAAAAAAGTCACTGTATTTGGAGATCTGTCTATTATTATCTGTCTATTAATATCTGTCTATTATTAGATATATGGCAA